AACACGTAAAGTAGGCAATGCGAAAAAAAAAAATTTATCAAATAATAATAATAATAATAAATCTTATACATTAAAAAAAATTAAAAAAAACTAAAGTCCGTCTGGCCGTTCTATCTGGCCGATTTCCTTCATTTTTTTTTTTTTTTAATGAAAGGTATTTAGATACAGATATGTCATAAATTATTGAAATTTATTTAACTCCCACCAACGCAATTCTTCTCTGTACATTTCTTATGGGAAACATTCACTCAAGCAATTCGAACTCTCATAGCTCTTCTTCAAATGAATGGATCTTGATCGTTTCACTCTCAGAACACTCAGTGGATTAAGTTCTTTCATTTGAGCTATTAACTGCTTAAATTTGTTGAGTTTGAGGAAATTTATGCGGGCACAATAAACTTTACTTTCAATTTTTTCCAAATACTGCATTCTCATTAGCTCTTACCCAGTGATATATCGTATCAACAAACAATACTAATATTATTACTTATATTAGCTAATATTGTCTAGAAGGAAGAACTGTAAAATTATTTTATGTAATCGTTACACCCTCTCATACATAGTCTATCCAAATGCTGTGGAACATATATTTTAATAACCATTCTCTGTCATTTCGATATATCTTTAAATTTTCGATAATATACTCATTTATTGATTTGTTTAAATGTGTTTATGTACTTATTCGATTGCACCTTTATTTTTTATTATATAAATAAATTATCTGTTGCGAATTTTCGCAATGGGTAGGCATATTATTATATAATAATAATAATTGTATGTATGTAATATAAAAATAAAATCTATTTGTAAGAAACAAAATGGAATTGAATTATTAGGAATCGATAGAAAAAAATCAAACATGTTAACATTTAACGAAGACGAAAATTACTTAAAATAATTTCTCAGAAAACAAAAGATTTTTTATCATAGATCCGTAGAGCAGGTTTTTATCATTATATACCCATAGTTATAATGTATTGTATGGAAATTGAATGAATTTCAATAATCTTATATTAATATTAAGAGACGGCTGCATTAATGATCGCGCCATACTGGTGGTTGTGGTAGAAGGAGGCATTAACACGTCACGCATGGCAACTATTATAGGCGATTCGATATAAATCGAAGTATAATAGTGTATGAAGGTAACACAAATTTAACACGTCTCGGTCCTAAAAGACGGCTATAATTCACGCGTGTTATAGATATTTATTGTACACCTGTAACCAACCATATACCATTGCATAGTGCAGTGCATTTCGGATTTTTCAGAACGAGAACGACAACAACGGTAATAGGTATTCCTGTGGGCGCATGTAAATTTCGCCACAAGTACCTTTTTTTACTGTAAACTCCACCAGAAAAATAAAACCGGTAAAATTGGGTTCATTTAAACTCCACCACTAAAAAAAATCAGGTAAAATTGAGTACATGTAAATTCCGTCAGTGAAGAAAATTGAGTAGTAGTATAAAATTAATATGATATATTAATAAACAAAAATTATAATATTATATAATGTCATATCGTTTACATAAAATATTTAAATCATAGTAAAAAAATCATAATAAATAATCGTTATACCTAATAATATAAAATCATATTTTTCATAATAATAATTAAAAATCGTCCATATTAAATATTTTAATCGTAGTAAAAAAAAAAAAAAATCATGGCAATAGATGTCAACGTATTTAATTTGAGAAGGCACGTAGCAATGTGAGCACTGAACAGGTAAACAAAAAAAACTGGCGGAGTTTACACTACAAGTAAACTTTTGAGACCTTGTAGAACTTTTATTACCTTTTTATCTTAACCGATATTCTGGCGGAGTTTACAATCGCCCATTCCTGTGTATACATACATAATATTTTTCGAATCAAGATGGAAATTGCATTATTAAAAAACGCTTAAGAAACCCATGGGTACACCATTACCTTTATGTTCATATAATAATAGGACTCGGCCCACCTACGGTCCATCCTTCCTCATTGAACGCGTCTGCAATTCTCGCACCTACGGTAACTATCAATTACGTATACGGTACATAATGTACCTTAACCAATCTAACTTATTTACAATATGATAATATTATAGGACAATAGACTTCTAAAATAGTACGCGTATGTTTGTTTTGCGTAACCGTGAAAAAAGCGAGCGAGATAATAAAATTTGTTTCGAATCATAATCTGTAATTTTATAAGGCATATTTTTTCTTGATCAAGTATTAAATAGAGATGTTTCGGGAAGAAAATTGATTATAAACTAGGTATTGGCCGAGTATTAATTAATCGCTGGGTACCCGGAATATCAATAATTAATATAAATTAAAAACAAAATCAAAGGAATTACTTTGCACTCCCTCATCATCGTCGATTGGATTCATATTTTATAGTATCAATTGAGTAAACAATTGTTTTGAGATATCGATAAATTTCAAATTATAAGCAGGCAACAAGCGGAGTAAAAACGACAGCCAAAGTGATATTAAATATGTGGCGCGTCGTGACTGTTGACTTATGGACGATGGCCGATGGGGAAAATAATGTGTTTTAATATCAAATTTTTATGATATAATTTATTAACAAACGCAGGATTTATTTTTCTAATTCATAGAACAAAATACAATTCATTCACAGTTACAATCAGCTATTATAAATTGGTTCGTTAATCTTCAATGCACCGAAATAATTTATGATTTATAACTCGGGACTTTCCCTGTTATATTAATGGATGTGCATAAAAAATGCATATATTATAGCCAGTTACTGAGTAGGGGTCGACTGAAAATGTATCAATAGGCTGGGTAAAAAATCCTAGTACCGGGTAAGGGCCGAGTAAAAATGCAGTGTTTCGCCAGGTACCGGATAAGGTCCGAAGCTTAATTATGCCATTGAAAACTCGACTACGAATAATTGCCGGGTATTTGGAACATCTCTAATATTAACTATTCATTTATTTTTGTAGCATATATTAAAACTATTTTGGCATATTTGATAAATTATCATTTTTCTTTGGATATTCGTTTTTTTTCTTTTTTAAATCTTCTGCTTTACTAATTATTGTTTATTTATTTACGATGCATGGCGCGCGTCAAAGTATATGGAATATAGCGGCATACGTTAAAGCCCAGTCACACAGAGCTACGGTATGTACATATGTACACTGTGTTCACTATATATGATGTAGTGCAAAGCAACGATACGTGTACTCTCAAGATCTTGATGTTTAAGTTATCCGGGGGGGAGTGAATCCAGTGATTATGAAGCCTTCTTATTATTTTTCTTGTCTAAACATGATTTTAAAAAAATTACTTACTAGTGGGTCCATGAAATAAATTCAAAAATAAATACGTTTGTGGAATTTCATCATAATGTAAACGAATTAAGCGAGATGATGAAATAAAATGTAAAGAATACTTCGCATGAGTATAGTCTTGTTTGATAATCTTTTGCCAATTGTTATAAACTATATTAACTGATAACATTTGTCTACTTTTGAAAAATATCGGAGGATATACCTGGACTCCCCTTTCCTAGTTGTGGACTAGATTTTCATGAAGATAACATTTTTTATTACGGCTTTTTAACATTTAGAATCCTTCTCTCTCTCTCTTTTTCTTGGGGAAAAATAATTTTTAGAATGCGAATGTTTCTTAATACGACTCATCAAGTCTCGCGTCGCTGGAAAATATAGCCAACAATCAAACACTCCGACGACGCGTCGTAATGTAGCTTACACTATTCTGTGTGGTCATTTACGTTGTCAATATAAAAAAAACTAATTTTCGTTCGTATGATGGACATACCGTGCTTGAGCTCTTTGTGTAGCCTTACCTTTAAAAATATTTCGTATTACTGGAGGTGCCTGACTGACGCAGTGCCGGATTATCAAGATTATACTGTACACCAATTTATGCACAATATAATATGTATAAATGGTAACACACTGAGGTTGACACGATAACGCATAATACATTATTACCGGAAGTGTTCGTATGATAATAAAAAAATGGAATATTCAAATATACATAGACATGTAGGCACCTACAGTTTTGATCCCGGAAACTTATTTTAAAAATCTCGGGATCTTTTCAGAGTGATTGGAGTTATTGAATTTTACGTTTTGTTAAAAAAAATCTATTCGTTAAATTTTAAATATTTAAATATTCGTAAAATCAATTGTTTGCATTTTACCTAAATTTCTCGAACTGTCAATGATGTAGTGGATCAGACGTATTTTTGTTTTTTCATAAAAAAAAATAAAAATCCGGCATTTCAATTCTCAGTGATTATCAGGTCAATAAATCACAAGGAAAACAGATATTCGAATCTCAATACACTGTATTAAGCATAATTTATGTATATAGTATACTCGAACGTATAAAGTGTGACGTGCTTATAGACTGTATTATAGCCATTGGTAAACTATGTATGAGCGCGCCCAGAACGCATAATAGACGTGAAACACAGTAACACCGAATATCTAGTCGAAGAGATACCTAATAACGATAATAATAATAATAATAATAATAAAAACAAACAATCGAACAAACAGACCGAAATATTACTCGGCGAAGCAAAACCCGCACGAGTAGGAGAGGAGATAAAAAAAAAAAATAAATATGGAAACAAAAAAGAAATCAGAATAGCTTTAATTGAGTACGACACGTTATCGTCGGGGAAACGCACACGCCCACGGACCGTACATAGGTATATAATAGGTATTGAAGTGTGTACAACAACAACGATGTAACGATGGATCCGTACGTGTATATGCGTTCGCAACGATGACAAATACGGTGCGATGCGTAACGGTACTCGGGTCCGCGTCGACACGGTAGTTGAAGCGATCAGTAACATAGGTACGTGCGCGGAGTAGCAGTGGGCGGTGGCGTGTGGTAGGCCCGACCGCCGCCCGCTCCCCCGTAGCCCCTCTCGCGCACCGCCGGTGTACCCGCCGACCGACGTCGCCACCGCCGCGCGGTTGCCAATATACGCGCGCGCGCAAAGCGTACGAACGCGATTCCGCGTCAGATTGTAAATAACGCTCGCGGCCATTGGAAGTGCGCGCGCGCGTCAACCGATCATCCGCCGTCGTACCTCCCGCTGTGGTAGTTTTTTACCCTTTTTTTTTTCTATTTCCTTTCCCTAACCCTCTCTACACCGTTAGCATAAATATTTCTTCCATTCGTTCGCACCGTTTGTTCCGAACAATAATCACAAAAATAAAAACAATATCGTCACCGCGACCGACCACTGTTCTGTCACACCCGTCCCGATCGTGAAATCGTTTTGTTAATCTTTTTCGTATTCCGCTGGTGACCGGCTCCACAACGACACCTCGGACACGCTTTAGACAACAACAACAACCACGACGAGATAAATATTATGCGCCCAGTCGTCGGCGCAACCGCATACGAAACCACCGCCACCGTCGTACAACCCGTCGGCTTCTCGGCCGCAGGCACGCGGCCATGGACGGTACGACTTTCGTTCGGACGATAGAATACTTGTAAAATTTTTCCTTCTCGCTCGTGTTTCACGTTACTGTGGTCCGGGGGATTTTTTTCCTCTCCGTCCTGCAAAACGTACCGTTTGTTTACCACATCAACGTGTCGTGCACCGGTTGATGAACCGCGTCTCGATCGCCACTGCCACCGCCGCCGGCACCGTCTTGTGCGCGAAAACCGACGGGATGGATACGTGCGTGGCGGACCCCAAAGTACCGCCGTGGAAACTGGAGCTGATCAACAGACGGCGGAGCAGGAACAATCAATCAAAGTGCGCCGGCAACATCGGTGGCGGTTGTGGTGGTGGTGGCTGCGGTAACGAACAACAACAGGTAAAACCAGTTCAATGGACCTGGTCGCAGCAGTCACCGTCGTCGTCGCCGCCGTCCTCTTCCCCCTCCGCGCAGCACTTTCTCCAGCAGCCAAACGAGGTTCAGACATCACCGCCGCCGTCGCAGCAGCAGCAGCCACCGCCGCCGCCGAAGCCGCTGCCGTCTCAGCAGCCCACAGTTGTAGTCGGCACCGTGTCTTCCAGCATGAGGCTCTTCAAGTGCGAGGCCACCATTATGACCAATTTTAAGAAAAACCCCCAGATCAACCGCTGTCGATCAAAATTCAAAACCAAACCTCAAATCATCACAGAGATTACCAACGGCTTAGATTACCATTCGGACTCCAGTGAGGAGTTCAAGTATGGGCCGGGTATCGTCAATAAGCTCAAGTCCAAGTACATGAGCATGACAGTGCGCGAACAAAAGCCCAGGCCCTCGTTGCGCCGTTCCACTAGTATGGACAACATTGTCGATGACAAGCATATAGTGGACAAGCCACAGCATTATTCACAGCCGGATGTTATAAGCATGGCGACTAATATTAAGAGTGATACGATGAAGCGGGCTCGTTCCATGGAGACATTGTCTGAAATGCAAATGATTAACAGTTACAATGATGAAATGCAACCTAAAACCACAAACGGTGAGTTGCCACCACCTGATGTTGTCAAGACGTACAAGAAAATATTTGAAACAAAAACCCAGAATGAAACAATAAAAACCATCAAAACTAAGCCTGCCATACTACCTAAGCCCATGTTAAGTCCTGAGAAAATGCGCCCAGTTAGAATGAACAAAGTACCACTGAAGAAAATGTCACCACCAATTAAATACCCTAACAGGTAATACATTTCTAAACTTTTATATCTGTCTACCTTCAGTCCTTAGAACAAATAATACCTACAGAACTTATATTTTTATTAAATTGGTTGTATCAACTACTATCAATTTCATAAATTAACACTCAACTCAATAATTTCAGTTGATAATAAAAAAAAAAAAACTTGTTTTTTAACCATTTTATTCTCTTATCAGTTTATTATCGTCAAGTAGGCTAGGTCATTAAACTGCATAATGTGAATTAAACATTCATTCATAATTATTACTCAACATCAAAATTATGGGATAAGAATCTAGTTTTATTTTATTTCTTGTAATAATGATGATAAATATTTTAGTGTGATTTTTTAATTGCTCTTATAGGGAGTTCAAATGTTAAAGTACTATTCGTTTATTCATGTAAGTACCTACCTCTTACAATTACAGTTATATAACTGTTAAATAATAAATATAACCAAAATTATATCATATCTTCTATTAACTCTTATTAAGAGTTCACTAAATTCTTCTAATTTGATTAATTTAATATGTAGTCCAAATTAGTTGAGTAAGTTCTTGATATATAAAACAACTTTATTAAGCGGACTGCCCACCATATAGTAAATTTCTTCTAATACTAGATTTTATATTTTACTTAGTTATATACTTTTAAGATTTAATTGTATGTTAGCCATTTCTATTACTTTCATTATAATTAATTTATTTGAAATTATTTTATTATTTGCTTATCTCTATAGTATAAATTTATATAAACTAAATTTTAATTAATATTTTAACAATGGATTATATTTTATATATTGTTACAAAATTATTTTTTTACATTAATGAACACTTTATAATTACATTTTACTAAATCCTTATATTATTTTATTAATAATAATAAATGTAGTGACTTGTACTAGATTACAAAGATTTGAATTTTCTTTTAATTTAGTTTCTATGGTAGTTTAATTGCAATGTATAGTTATTAAATTCTTATTTATCCAATTTTCTATTGTTAAATGTATGTGATACATTAATAACATTAGTTGAAATGACTATATGATTTTCTGATAACTATTCACAAGTTAATATTGAAAATAATATAATGACTATTAAAAATAAAGCTTTAATTTTTCAAATACAGTCATTAGTTATTTAATATAATATTGAATGTAACATAAAGTTATAGTTTATTAAGAAGTCTTTTATTTTGGACTTTTTTCATACAATTATAACGCATAGTACTTAGTACAATATCTGACATTAATATTTTTTTCAAACAATTTAGTGTACATATATGCTCCTCATTAATAATTACTTATTGAAAGTTACTAATTAATTATTTATTGTAATTGTTTACAGCATTTTATTCTTTGCTTATTGTTGGTTTTTAAAAGAAAATAAGTATTTTTAATAACAATAATAGACCTAACTTTTGGTACATAATAGTAAAACTTCAAAAAATAAACAACTATTAAGTGTTTTACTGATTTATGATTGATATTGATAAAATAATTAAAATTTGATTTATAAAATTACTATAGTTTTAATGTTCATATTATTAGATATTAAGTAGTGACTTATTATTTTTCATATAATTATTATAAATTAAAAAAGGTTATTAAAAATTGTTAGTTATGCTTTTATTGTGAAATGACTAATAATTTATTAATTAATTACCTTAATTATCTAGATTTTAATAGCTTTTTTAAATTTTGTTGCTATTAGATTTAGATGTAATGTATTAATATGTATGAAAATATAATGATGGATTATTTATTTATATGAATAATTTATACTAATGATTATTATGTGTTAATTAAGTGTTATTAAATAATTTACAGATTAAAAAAGAAAGAACCATTGGGTTTTGATCGTTCTAAATCATTGATCAATGATGAAGTTAGTTCTAGCCAAGATGAATCATCTATGTCATCTGACGATGGTGGATCAGCTAGACATAGGGTTGCTATTAAAACTGCCATTACTGCTACAACTATTGATAACAAACCAATATCAATACCAACCAAACAGATATGTGTTATTAGACCAACTACCAGAACTACTTTACAGCCTGAAGAAAGTACTAATGCTCAATTGTCTGATAAAGAAATAGAGGACCATTTTATAAATAATAATAACAATAATAACTCCAATAATACCAATGAAGAAAAAAAAGTAGGTGGCTTATGGGATAAAAAGCGTTGGGATTATCATGAAAACAGTGTAGTTTTTAATTTTGTCAACCGAAAAGGAATTCCCAACTACATTGATAGTGAAGGCCCATTACAAAGAAGAGAAAATTCCTATGTAATATATCATGTTTACCTATTAACTTATTACTGTTATGATTACTTTATTAATATTTATAATTTTAGGGGATTAATGATGGTTGTATCATGCTTGATGCACATTGTGAAGAATCCAGTACTGACGATATTGATAATGTAAATAATGAAAATTATGTTATTTTTGTTGGTGATAATATTATCATTGGTCGATCAAATCTTCGTAAAGAAAATACATCAGCCCTGAGAAAAGTAAGTTTATTAAATTTTTTTATTTTAGTTTTATATTAAATTTTAGTAACTATTGATATTTTATTGTAATGTCACATGTAATAAAATGTAATATATGTCTCAGGTATACCTCGGTTTATATTTTTATTATATTTATCAAGAACTTTTATAGTAATTAATAGTAATAACCCAACCTATTTGGTATATAAAAGATTATATATTTATTACCTAAAATATTCAATTCTGTTTACGGTGTGTAGGCATTAAATTATCCAACAACATTATCTGAACATGCTGATACATTTATCAAATCAATAATATAAATCATTAGTTATTTCTTAATTGGATATGTGATAAGTTATATGCATTTTTCTTTAATTATAAATATATTTTATTTTTATCTTTAATTGAATGACTATTAAATTTACATTAAATTATTTAAATGCAAAACTACTGGAGAGTAATTTTATATTTTGAAAAAATAAATCTTAAGACTTTTAATTTAACAAAAATGTATAAATGATTATGCTTAGTGGTAGAATATAATATATAAATCATTAAATAAATAATAATAATAATAATAAAGTTATCCAACAATGAACATTTTAATGTACTCATATTATTAAGTATTTTTGTAAATATTATATTGCGTATGAAGTTCATTAAAAATTGATTTTATCTTTTTTTTATTGTTTGATAATAATCTAGTAGGTAAGAATAAAAGATAGATTAAACAAGTTTTTCATTATTATTACTTGAAGACATTCATCATAGGTCAATGAGCTGATTCTTCATAGAAATTGCCTCAGGCATTATCATTTTATTTTATTAATACATGTACGCATTCTTTCACACAATGACACTTGAATGCTGAAGTATTAGCCACTGGGCAACATGATTCCAGTACAATTTGGTCAGATTCTAAAAACTTACTATAGTTTTTTTAATTAATTGTAATCTATGTAAAACATAAATGTTTTTATTGTTATAAATTGTCAAGAATATTTTTAATGTTCAGTCATTGGGTTTTAGAATAATATTACGATATAATAGTTGTATGTTGTATTTTTTTGTTTTATAACATGTATTATTGATACAATTATTTAAATATTATTCTAACACGATAGAAAATATTAAAGTTGCAAAGATCTATCAAATTCTTTTAAAAGTTACAATTGGTATTTATCCAATACCTACATTATACTTATTTATTGATATTTTTTATGGATTTAGCAATGTTAAATTTTCCAATAACTGAGGAATTAATATTTTAAATATTAGTATTTTATAATGCATTCCTAAGAAAAAAACAATGTTATTAAGAACAAAATTATTGAATTATACAAAAGGAATTATTAAAATATATTCCAACTATTAACAATATAATAAAAATTTTAGATTGTTAAAAATTAATGAAATAATTACCAATATGGGTTAATATGTATATGGTAAATCTGATCAGTTATAATTGCACGTGTTAGTCTTATGTACACTTATAACTGTCATAAATTAGTGATTAAAGATGATTCAGTAATCTGTAATTATATGCTCTAAATTAAATATTTTAATTCATCATTAGACTAATACCATTAAATATTTTATTAATTATTTTTTAATGTGTTTTCCAAAGTATTATCTTTACTGTTACATCGGAAATTAAATATTTATATTTTATTATATTTTTTTTACTATATTGTAAAATAATACGACTTGGTTAATAATTTCAAAGATTGGTATACATATTTTGAGTCAATTACTATGGAATATAATACGTTATATGAAAAATCCAATTTATAAAATGTTTTAAATTCACGATAAAACTATTAAACAAAATTTTTAAGCAGTTGCAAACTGTGTGTATTATAAAATACAGAATAGTCCCCGAAGGTCACTAACTGTGGGTCATTGTGCTGTAACAACTTATAACGGTACAATCGTATGTTAAGTGTTGGAAACTAAGTAAACCTAGTTTAAGGTCATACACAATTGAAATTGTGAAATTAATGTTTTAATTTTAACGCGATATCGCGGACGTAACGGACATTATTGTTACATCACAATAATAATAGCATATTTTTATTTAGGACCTTCATATTAAATTCTCCGATGTATTAGAAACAACACACGAATATCCATCTGAAGCGTCGCTGCTGATTGAAGATGAATCAACAAGACACGACGATCCTGTCGAAAGTACGACGCCAAAAAGTAACGTATATTTTTGGATATCTAAAAAATACAATTTTATTTTATTTTTTCTAACTAGAATAAAAAAATAAATATAAACGTTTTGTGGATACGTTAATTTATATATTTTACTATTTACGTCTTCACATTATTAGTATAATTTGCATAAAAGTAGGTCACGAATACTTTCACTCATGGTCAAGGTTCAACATTGAAATTACATCTTAAAATATCCCGTTTACATTTAGTATTCGACTGTTCTCTACTGATGTAAGCGTTTATAATTCATCCGTCATGACGTTTACTTATTACTTCCATTGAACTAGGATCGAATAAAATATGGTATGAATTACCATATCAATGAGGACACAATGTTATTTCCGAGATATTTATTTTCAAATTACATCTTTTCATCATACTTTAACAAATACTTCAACTACGTAACATTTAAGTGTGCAAAATATTACATTTATATTTTACACATACTTGCTTTAAACAAATTATGTAAAATATATTGATTATACTCTAAATTAATGTTCATGTGAAATTATCATGAAGAATTATATTTTTTTTACTGTAGTTATTTTCTTAAAGGAACTAATATTTGCTATTTCATGTGCAGTTGTGTGTTACTTCTTCGATTAATTGTTCGATCAATTTATTTGTTTGCTGTTTCAGGTAAATTTGGCAATTACATTCCAAGTAAATTAGGTACAAACGAAGAAGCGTTTCTTGGTGAGTACGGAGTTAGTAGAAGTAATGTAAAAACTGTAAAACTCTCAGTCGAAAAAAACCACGAAGACAGAGATAAGTCAGTGATAGACACAAACGTGCCTTGGAGTGAAGAAACTACACCCGATCTCTTGTTTTGAGTTCCTAATTTTTATATTTTCTTATGTACGAGCTCATTATGGTGTTTTTTTGAACAGTAAACTTCATGGAAAATTTGATTTCTATACATATTTTTTTAAAATTAAATTTAAATTAAAAAATAAAATGACCAACACGATAAAATAAAAGACTCTATGAGAAATTCATCGACTGAATAAAAATTGCATTCTTAATATGATATTTATATATTTTTACAATTCCTATAAATATGTGTAATATTTTTTTGCCAAGTAGCATTCGTTTATTATTTAATATTTCTATTATATTATTAACTTGATGTTGTTTATTTATTTATACTTTTTTTATGTATACATAATATTCATAAGTATGATATTATTATCTCGATGTTTATACACATTTTGTATTTTATAAATCAATATGCTCTATCGGGAATATTGAATTGAAATATATTGACTAAATATACAGTTCCGACGCGTTTATTGAATAGAAACCGAATATCGCTCTTGTTGTAGATCCATTTATATATTCAGTCAGTTTACTATTTTCGTTGATCGTGTTTATGTTATAAAAACTAATTAATCTATAACCAGGGCTCGTAAGTTCATGCATTTGCATATTTTTTTGCTACATCCGAAAACATGCTAAGTGAGATACAAATCCGTTTCATAACAATAGTAATAAAAATGTTAAATTTAATAGAGCATGTTTTTGAATCTTAAGTGTGTATTGGCATATTTGGCATATAGTTGGTTTTTTGGAGTTATCAGCGCATATGTAAATTCAGCAAAATCATTTTTCGTGGAAGTTAAAAACAAAATTGTATTAATAAATGCTTAAATTCATTTTTATTTAACCAAACATGTTTACAAAATCTTAGTAATTTATCAGTATTTTTATTTTTGTATGACATTGGGTTTTATAAGTTGAAAACAGTACTACGGAAACAATGTTATTGCACACCGCTACCACCCTCCTATTAACGAGTGCATTACAATCGATCATTTTATTATAATTTACGACGTGTATTCATTAATTACAATTTTAATTAAATATAACTTTTAAATTTATGAATGGATAATTCTTATTATTTTAAAGAATGCTTATACATATTTTTTTCGTGCATAGTTTAAGATTTTTAATACATATAAATTACATATAAATGCATATTATTAATTTTTTAGTGCATATTTGAATGCATATTTTATCAAACGTTAGTGCATCATTGCATGTTTATTTATGCGTTTTTTTAAGTGTAAGAACTTACGAGCCCTGGTTATAACTGTATAGTGTAACTTTAATATTGTTGACGCGTTTCGAGTCTATATGCTCGTTCGTCCATCAAACGGCGGTGGCGGTTGAGGCGGACGATCGACAAAGAATGTCGTTATCGTCGTCGTCGATCAACGTTACGCGTCTCACGTACGGTTCCGATATTGACGCGCAAAACTCTCGTACGTAATGAATTGTCCGTCACACGCAAGTGGCGCTGTGATTCGAAACGAGTTCGCAACGACGATGACCTGAGATATCCGCTCACGAACGATGGACATGCTGTAGTAATAATGATTTTCGGTCGTTTTTTTCTTCTATGAATCAATCGTGTCCGAGGTCGAACTTGGTCTGACGATTGTGTGCGACACGTGACTTCATAATTATTGTTGGATTACTCATAATGATGGCAATAATGCGTGTAATATAATATTTATAATGGGTGGAGGGGAAGGGAGAGCGCTAAAGCCACAAACCTACGGTGTACCTACGTCCTCAAGGTTTACCATCCGAAACGAATGACCTCCCCTCTTTGTGTACCGCTATTGTACACTATATTGTTACAATTCTCTGATAAAATAGTTCTTCATGTTGGTTGGCCAACGATTAGAAAACATTGCGGGCCAGTGGCGCAATTATCGGAAGTGTTGGGTGTGCAGGGGCCTTTAGATCTCTTCTGATGTTACCTTTATCTCTTACGATATTCCTACTATAATCTGTAATATACGCATTTTATATTATTTGTTTTAGTATAATAATAATGAATAGTGATAAACTAGGGCTCAAGTCTGGAAATGTTCACATGGGCCCCTTATCATCAAATTGCGCCACTGTTGCGGACCTTTTCAACTTACGTCTCGTGACTCACCCTCTCTCTCCACTTGATCCCTGTGAGCGCTGTGATATACTCATAGTAACGTGAGCCTGAAGTAAACTTCTCGTCGGACAAACAATGGGCACGAGTACAACAACGATGTATACAATGCATGCGATGGATATTGGTAAACGTACGGTATGCGCACGGAAGTAGGACAACCGTTCCGTTCGTAAAACCGTTGGAACGCAAAGTTCCGCTGCGTAACGGTGGGTACTGCGCCACCGTCTCGGCCGGTTTGGTTAGCTACTGCTACCACGTGATGATTCTTAAACGTGGAATAATTTTAAAATATTTCACACTCGAAGGCGGCACAATCGACAACAATGGCGGAATGCGGCTTCCGGTGAATCCAAGAATTTTGCCCGGCCGTGTGGACACAACAACTCTGTCCGCCAGAGGAGTGATAAAGGACGACGATGATATCAAATACGATCGTACGTATGTCCCGAGTCCTATTTCACGAGCTTAATAGTGTCATTTATCGATTGGCGTTTGTGTTTGCACGTTTGATCTGACCGCGAATACCGTGTTATTTCTCGTGAACCGAATACAATTTTATCGAATATTTTGTCTGCGTGCAGTCTTTAACTTCTCCGAGTAACATTTGAAAACAACGCGTGCATTAAATCTTAGAAATTCACTCCTACGGTACCTACTTGTTTGTCGGTTAAAACCCGTTTTCCGCGTGTAGACGGAATGAAATCGTAATTATGCACACCTATAGTTTTAATATTTTTTTCTAACGAAAACAATACACATTAAAATCCGCAAACGGCTGTCGAATACAATAAAAATTATCCCCCACATATGAGCACGGACACGTACGCGAAACGTCATATTTCTGCCAACTCGAACCGTCGCGCATTTTATTAACGAGACGCCTCTGTCGGCCCCAATACACTCGTATTATGTTTATCGTGGTCGCCGGTTGCGAATAAGCACCGTTCAGCTATAACTAGCCATTCCTCCCGGTCTCAAAGGCGTGTCCCGGCCGATCATTCAGTTTGTCCTGGTTGAAAGAAGAAGAAAAAATAAATTCTGGTTATAAGCCCAGAGAAAATAACATTTTATATTGTACTTATATCATTATGTTATGATTATCTAATTGCCACAGTTATGTACAATAATAATGTTTTTTTTTTGTATTAGTTAATAAATATTTAAACTACAAAATGATATACTTATTTCCGTTTTAGGGATTTCAAAATCTGACAACCCTAGCAATTACCAGTGTATTGCACACTGCGGTTTATCCGGGCACGGAAGCGATTATTTGCTAGAATTTGAACAGCCATAATTAAACCGGTATATTGGTACTAGAAAAACCGCGGACGTCCACGTTCAATCGCGCATTTTAATTATTGGCGAACGTTTGCATTTCACCGCTAACATTAAACGCGTTGTTTTGACTGGAAATTATTATTCATCCCAAGCGTTTTTTTCTTAGTTATTTTTTTGTCAGATTAGGCGATTTAAAATCGCGTTTATAAGCGAAAAAAACCGAATAATATACAATGATGGGCGATTTTTAATCGCGTGCAGATAAGCTGCCTAGTATGTAATGCACTTTAGGTGTTCATCAACAGTGGCGGGGTCTAGAAATGTCTGGAAATAGGAATTTTCCTGATGGCCTGGACTATATTTCATGGTTTGGTGCCCGATCGTTTATGATAATTTTTATTTACAAAACTAGTAAATGAGTAAACACTCAAGTTTTGAGTAAAAAACTCAAAACTTTAAAAACTATACAATCATTGTATTACATTAAAACACGATATATAATTCTTAGTATTGCAACGATTTCAACTTTATAATTATAGAAATTGTATTTCTCAAGTGTCAGTGTTATGTAAAGAATATATTTGAAGAGCCAAAATAAGAATTGAAATACACATTAAATAAATTTGATATTATTTTAAATAAAATGAAACGTTTTCATTTGTATTATGATAAAGTATTGAACTTCGTGTGTAGCGAGAAAACGTTTTTAGGTAATTCAATTGATAAACAATGGGTGGACATTGATAAATGTCGATCTTCTTGTAAATTTAGCTCTCTGCCATAGGCGGAAATTGGGGGGGGGGGCTTGAGGGGTCTTAGCCCCCTCAAAACGTACAAATAGAAAAATTAGCCCCCTCAAATAATTGATCACTGCAGGTTACTGCAATAAATAATAATAAATATTAACTTTCAATTCAAATATTGTTGGAACGCGAATAAAACATTTAGAAAATATTATAGAAAAAAAAATAGGATGTGATATATTTTCTGATTTCAATGTCAAATGCCTAAGTCCATAGAGCACAGAGGCAAAGCATAATAAATATTTAAGAATCAATGTATATTAGTTTATTAGTACCTATATATAAACGATATCAGTTTAATCTAATGATTGGTTTCAATACGCAGACAACGATATCTCATTATTTTCTTGGAATTGTCAATTATGTTATAAAAATAGACGAAATAGTAAATACCAATGTAAAATTTGACAATTCTAAACACACAACAGTGATATCTCTATTTCATTAGCCATTCAACCATTGTCCATTGCATCGTATGTACTGTTAAGTGTTGTTTCGTTTTTTTAACTTTGTTCAATTTTTTTTTTTTAAATATGTCCAAAAATGTATTTGACATATTTAATTTAAAAAAAAAAGAATGTTCCGACCGTCGATATTGACCAAGTCAGAATTGATTCTGCATTATTTGAATCATCTTGACTGTACATTCAGGCACGGTAAAACAATCGTGAACGTAGTTTTTCTGCAATGAGAAGGATTAAAACATGGCTGAGGTCATCAATGGTACAGAATAGATTTAAAAATTTAGCTATAATTATTATTGAGAAAGATATTTCTAAAAAATTGATAAAAAAGCCATACTAAATTTATTTGTAAAAAAAAATAGATACATTATTTTAAAATATATATTTTTTAGTTTCATTATAAA